TTTTCCAGATTATAGAAAACCGAATTTTCAAGAAAGTTGGAAAATCGACATCGATTTTCTACATTGTCGAGGATTATTTATAGAAAATCCTCAACGAATTTCTAGATGATGAGGAAGAGCAATTTGAGTGAGAATGCTGATAATCAGTGACTTGCAAAGTGAAAATGGTTGAAGATAAACTTTTTCACCATTATTAAAAGCTATTGAACTTCGAAGTTGAGTGGCGTGTATTATTTCTAACTTATTGGATGACAATATGGATCTTTCACTAATGAAAACCAAATTCGACATCGATCACGTATTGAACGACTGTTATTTCAGTTAAAAAATAATAAAATAAATGTGAATTGTTAGGATTATGTCTTTGAGTTAATAGAACCAAATACATTTTTGGAAGATGCTAAATTCAGACATAAAAATGAGGAATATTAGCAAGAGCAAATCGCTTTGCGATCGTCATAAAGTTGCGGTGGAACTTCACTTTGTCTTGACCAGACAACCCAAAAATCTTTTCAGTACCTCTTTGTGATCTCCAAGTGTCATACAGCAACAATACTTCTCAAAGAATATGCTGATTTGCAAAAACTGAGAGAACTTTCTGAATCTACTAAAATTTCGATGTTAAATACTAAAAGGAGCAGAGATCTGTTACAGGACAACTTGTTACAATGTAGGCTTTAATAGATGTGAAAGAAGTAAGAAGAAAATCATCGATTCGTCTTCTTAGAAAATTGAATTCGATTTTCCAACTATTTAGAAAATCGATGTCGAATTTCAAGAATGTTGGGATTTATTTATAGAAAATCGATTTTGATTTTCTAGAATCTGAAAAATCGAGTCAATTTTCTACAATGTTAGGAATTATTTACAGAAATCGATCGATTTTCCAACTTTTTAGAAATTCCTTATCGATTTTCCAACTTTTTAGAAATTCCTTATCGATTTTTCTGGCAAATGTGAAAAGTCAATTTATGGAAAATCAAGCGGATTTTCTATAAAGTAGAAAATCAATATTTTCTAAACAGTCAGAAAATCGCTGAGAATTTTATAAAAGTTGGAAAATTCTTGGCGATTTTGCAAATCGATTTTCTATAAAGTAGAAAATAATTCCAAATTACAGTGTACTGGAACTATCGTATGATTTATGCTAGGTACCACAATTGACATGTTTTTGTCTAAACAGGCCATATGATTCGATTAGGTAAGGGGTATTTTTTGCATAATGAGATTTATTTGATGTGAAAGAGCGTGAAAAACTGCGTAAAATGATGCTGATCCGCAGTGTAGAGATACTTATTTTCCACAATAGACAAGACGAATCTTCCGAGATTTTATGACCAAGGTGGACAATATGCCTTGTCCGATCAGCCATAAGCCTTATCTCTGTCTGATATCATTTCATTAAACAAATTTAGCATAAATAAATTTATTTCAAAAACAAAAAAGATCTTTTTCTCATATAAGTCTTCATATAATAAGCTACATATGCTATTTCAACTTTCTGCATTTTCTGATTTTTAAAGCATAAATGATTGTCTATTTTGTTCTTTTTAGACTATAAAACTATACGATTGTTTACAACTTCAAATCTATAGATGGTAATAAATGTTTTATTTTTCTTCATTGTTATTCACGCAACAAAAGTAAAGACAGGAAAGAACTTCATCTAAATTAAAAATGCAAAGTTAGAGATTGACTACAGACAAAAACAAAGGAGAACATTCATGAAATCCATTAGATATATTCTATAATTATTTGATAGTATTTATCATAAATCACAGTTATTGCTACATTCAACTTTTCTATTTACTTTGCATAAAAAGAATCACTCTAGTAGGGATTTATACGCCAATAAATGTGAGACTTTCCATGTAGATCCGTCCATTTATACAAAAGTTTCGACGAGAGAATCTCACTATGCTCATTGTATAGAGCACGTTAAGTGACATACAAATCGAAATTTTTTTCTTGAAAAAAGTTTGTCCACGGATGATGAACTAGTGGTTACAGAAGTACCATCAATTACATAATTTGGATCCCGAACGCTCCGTTTTTAATTTAACTATATCGAATAAGAGATCGCAGATATTTGGCTGTGATAAAATCGAGAAGTTACGTTTTTGAAATTTTCCATCCGCTCGATAAACTGATTTTTTCTACAATTTTCGTGACATAAGTACTTAGGTTAATTGACATTCCTGGTTGTGTTGTAAATATATTTTTCTGCTCGAATTCTACAAATTCGCGTCATCCATACACGAGTTTCAAGATAAGTTCGGTATATTTAAGATGCATTGAAATCGAATTTATGAAGTAGCAGGATTATGTAAGGCATTGACTCATCCTTTTGATTTTTGAACAACTGTTGTTTTTAGTATTAGAGAGTCTGAACAGGGGAAAATATTAGTTCATCAAACCTGTGGTTCAACAGTTTGTTTGTTTTGTTGTCCGGATTAAAGAAACTTCGAAAGATGAATTCTTCAGAAAATTCGATTTTTCCACTGTGACTATAGTAAAATAAAAACCTTCTAGCACCATCATTTCTCAACCAAACTGCTTCAAATTTTCAAAATACACTCAGTTTCACCTGCTATACAGTTTAGAAAGATTGGAAGTATTTCTCATATTGAGATTTCACCTAAAGATCGTCAGAGGTTTTCTGAAAAACTTGCAAAGATCCGCTTCATTTTCTGTAGTTCTGATCGTGAGATTGAAACCTATGTACCATATATTTTTGAGGTTCCTAGGCTCCAGGTTTAGCCGACAGATAGGTCCCCGGAGATTGTCAGTAGCGCCTAAACCACGGTAGATGGAGACTTGGGACTTGCAGCAGATTTGTAGAGCGACACCTATTGTATACCAATATATGTGTAGAGTAGTACTTTGCTATGTGGATTTTTGGAACGATAGGCTCAGACATTTTATTTCGAAAGGTAAACCATGGTAGACCTTTTCGATAGGCCGGATTTTGTCATAGAATTATTGTCCCAACTGTCTAGTTTCAAAAACTGGAAACTGCAGGATCTTATCTCATTTCTATCAAAAGTTGTTCAAAAAACATCCGAGTACACTATATTCTGAAATGGATAGTAGCCTGCTCTTTGACATTATTCATTAGATTATGTATAATTCCATTTCATGATTTAACCATTTCATTTATTACTGAACAACATTCGGAGTTTCTTTGCCATTTATTGAGTTTAAGGTCATTGTGTCATACATGAATCACTATTTCAATAGTGACCAGCGTGCGACTTGTGCATACAGAAAAATAACACCCATGCTATAAATAACACTTAATGAAGGAATAAAAACCGAGCAATTAGGGAAATTGTGATAAATTACTAATAGTGTGCTTACGCTTGATTGAGTTTTATCCGTCACTTTCTGATGTTCTAGTCAGACGAAAGCAAACTGGTACAAAATATTATTTTTCTAAAAAGAACCAAAACATTTATGTACTTGTAATAGACTGCAGCAATAAAGTACGTCGAAACTTCATTATTATGTTATATTTATCAGTCTCTTCAAAAATATTCATTGTAAATCATGCAGGACTATTTGTCAATGAGCCTAGAAACAATCAAGTTGCTAACGGATATTCTCTTTGAGAAGTAATATGTAATAGAACTGAAATTTGACGTTTTGTTGTGGAAGTCTTGATTCTCAAAAACACTAGACCTGTAATGATCCATCGTTCCTTAATATTCAGTCTCTCGATAACGAGAAATGATGTTTAATTCGCGTTTATTGAACTGTTGTTTAGTTCTCATTCGTACGTACAGGAATCAGAATTCTACACTGTGGTGTATATGCCATTCAACGATTAAAGTTGTATAACTGACACAATGTTATTGATTTTTTTGATTTTGACTCTTTTTTATTTGTTTTTGAGAATCAACACTTCCACAACAAAACGTCAAATTTCAGTTCCGTTCTATTACATATTACTTCCCAAAGAGAATATCAGTTAGAAACTTGATTGTCTCTAGGCTCATTGACAAATAGTCCTGCATGATTTACAATAAATATTTTTGAAGAGACTAATAAATATAACCCAAGCAAACATCACCTATGGAAAAAATCTAGAAACATTTCGTGTGTAATCGGGTGATACATGACTAGTTGCCATCTAGATTTCTAATTGGAAAAGAGACTTTTAACTAGATGTGTCTGCATGTGTATCTAGCAATAGAAAAATTGATTGATTATCGGGCGATAAATCGATACTTTCAACTAGAAGAAATCTAGCAATCACCCGATTACTAGATTTCCACTATCGTTACCCAAAAGTTGCAATCGCGTAAAAATCTAGTAATCTAGATAAATCGGGCGATACTAGTTTTTTTTTTTGACGCTTGGGAATAATGAAGTTTCGACTTACTTTATTGCTGCAGTTACAAGTACATAATATCTATGTTTTATTAGAAAAGATTTTGATCACTTAAGAAGGTTCTCTCGTGAGTTCTATCCTTAGTCTGCAATACAAAAAATAGTTACATGGTTCGATAGAGTTTTTATGCACATTAAGAATCATATTTTAATTGGTCGAAGAACCCCAAACAGAACGAGAAAAATTGGATTTACAAGGATTACGGACGACATTCGGCATAACTGCATTGTAAACCTCGAATCAGGGTAACGCTGATGTTTTCAAATATATTTAATATTCTTGTTAATAGAGAACGATGAATCATACAACAAAAAGGAGGCGCATGGTTTTGAACTTTACAGGGAAAATACCAGTTTTTCCAAAAATGAAGAAAAGTAAAGATTACTAGTCCTAGTGAAAATCATTAATATCGATAAATCGACAAAAGGTTGTACCAAATTAGCTTCAGATTTAGAAGGATGTTTCATATGAGTAAAATTTAAATTTTATCGGACAGTCTGCATAGTTAGAGTTCTCAAGGAGCGTTTCTTAAATCTAAAAATCCTCTAATAAGATTGATTTTATTCTTATTTTTATATCTCACTTTTTTTTACTTTAGACTTTAAAGATGATGAACATAAGCAAATTTGGTAGTATTGCATTTGCGTTAATCATAATCGCATTTATATTTCATATATTGGCGATGGGTTACCCACGTTGGAAAACTGTTACGTGTTTGAACTGTGCAAATGAGTCTGTTCAAGCATGGCATACATCAATAAATAAAAGATGTTACTTATCGGAGTTACAAAATTTTAGTTTTGGTGAAAATCATCCATTGGTTGCCCAATTATGTTTACCCAATGAATATCTGTATCCTAAAAAGCAAGAAGATTCATTGTTGTGTTCACTGCAAATGTTTGAAGATCCATACACTATATGTGCGTTAAAAACTTACACAAAAGAATGTTATTGTGCGTATACAAATGCAACTCAAGCAATCATTTCTCTTACGGTAATTGCAAGTATTCTACTTGGAAGTTGTATATTTATTTCACATTATGTAGCATGTGTATATAAAGAGGTCGTATTAAAATGGTTGTTGTTTTCTGGAGAAATATTTTTAGTTATTTCTTCTATCGCCATATTGATTGCGTTGATTATTTCTGGTTTATATAAATCACAAGATTTGGACCATCTTAAACATATAGAATTATTCAACAATAGTGAGTAGAAAAGTTGTTATATTTTACATTCTTCTTAAAAATTGTTTCCTCTAGCTTCATCATCATTACAACAGGCAATATTTTCTGACTATGATGTCAAAATTGGCTTCTCTGTCGGATTAGAAGCCGTGGCGTTTGTGTTCAGTTGTGGAGCAACAGTGTTTTTCTCACTTTTATTATGGGCTAAACAAAGACCAGAAGGATCATTGGATTAAAAATAATAATAAAAATTCGTTAAAGTATGCCACTTTCTTTGTTAGTGTAACAGATGAGTTTCAAAACTGATATTTAAGTCTCGTTAATATTGCTTCTTCGAGTCAGCAAATAGATGAACTAGTTAGATGAAATATTTTTTGATGATCGCATCATATTAATAATACGTGAAGCACTTAACAATAAATTAATTATTAAAAAACAGATATACATTTTTAATAGAAGCTGTTTTATTTGAATTTAATTGCTTTTATTGGCGACATCTAATGCTATTATTGTGACCGTTCAGATAGAATAATCATTAGCACACTGTAAAAAACCAAAAAAGCTCCGATACACTTTTTTTGGACGATGAACGGATCATTTTAAAAGTGCTCCACTACGAGACAGTTTTTGGAGGCGCTATCAAGGTGAAAATTCTGAAATTGTGTTCGTCCCATCGTGGAGTACTTTTAAAAGTATCCCATTCATTGCCTAAAAAACGTGCCTTGGAGCACGTGATTTTTTACAGTGCATACGATATGTTTGAATATTTTTCTCAAAATATTTTACCTCAATATTACCTCAATATTATGCATTTTATACAATTTTAACCAATCGTTGGTAAAGATCAGCAGTACTCATTTAATCATTATAGCAAAAAATATGACAAATGTTAATAGAATGTTTTTTGATGTATCCTAAGGTAAAATATAGGAGAAATGTACTGTGGTATACAAAGACAGTTTATAATGTAAATATAGAAGGTTAACATTAGTATCTTTTTTGATTCTGTTCACATGTTTTTGTCCACTATTAAAGATTTCTTTGGCATGATTCTATTAACATAATAGATTTGATATAGTAAAAGTACAGTCACTTCATACCAAGTTAGAAGATTTTTAATCACATCGATCGTTTAAGTTTATGGATTTAAAATCTATACGCTGAAGTTAAAATTTAAGTATGACTGGTTAGAACTGAAATTAAGATTAAAATTTCCATTTAAACTTTAGAAAACTGGCTGAAGTTGAAGTTTTATTTCAAACTAACGAGGAAACCACTCCAACTGTCCGATCGCTTTTTTCACGAAACCTAGTGGACAATAGGTAATCGAGTGTGGTGACTCTGAATATCATAGTGGTGGTTTTCAGAGAGCGGTTTTCTGGAAAACTAGTTTTTCAAAAACTCTAAAAGATGACCAAAATCTTCCTTGATAAGGCATAATTGTAGCCCGCACATTTCTGGTTAAAATGAGATCTCCCATCTCCCAGCTTTACATGACCTTTGTTTGCAAAGTTAGAGAATTTACAAGAAAAGCCCTAAATTACTTTCTGCTTATTGCTGTAGCTTTGAGCTGACAATGAACATTTAGGGCTCTTCTTATAAATTCTCTAATTTTGCAAAGAAAGGTCGTGTAGAGCTGGACGATGTCTCATTTTCATCAGAAATGTGTGAGCTACAATTATGCCTCATTAAGAAAGATTCTGGTTATCTTTTAGAGTTTCCGAAAAACTGGTTTTCAGAAAATCGGTCTCTGGAGGCCTAGACGCCCAAACCACTATGATATTCAGATTCATCACACTCGATTACCTATTGTACACTAGGTTTCGTGAAAAAAGCCATCGGACAGTTGAAATGGTTTCCTCGTAAGTAAAATTGGGATTTGACTGATCAATACTTAAAATATTTATAAAACATGAAATTTTTGTGTAACAGTGAGACCTTCAGTGTACATTTCTAGAATTTCAGAGTAAAGTCATACTTTTGCGATTGAAGAGGAAGGAGTGCGAGTGAAAGAATTAGTACAAAAACGAGAAGTTCACATTTTCTGAGCTTTACTTTCATCTTCACCATGACAAGCACAATGTGCTCTAAATGTTTTGGATATAGTAGTTATTGACACGAAGAGAATGTGAATTGTTCCTCGAAACCGGAATATTACCCTTTTTCATTTCAATGCATTTGACCAAATATTCCTAATTCTGTTTCGATTTACAACAAATGTCGAGGAATTCCTGTAATCAAAAGCTAAACGAAATAAATAACAGTACAGCAGTCTTTCGCTCAATGCTTTCTTCAATTCGTATCGTCACCAGTACTCAAGCTTGATCTGAAGTACGTCCTATCTGTGAGGAAAAAGAAAAAAATGTTATTGTAGATTTTTTGCACAATGTATACCTGACTGTTTCTTTATCCCCGTTAAAGTTTGTTCTTTTCCCCGTTCATAGAAATGTTCAAAATAGACGATGTAGATATCTGTAGGGGATTATACAGGATTTACCATAGTAAAACTCTGCTGATAGACATGAGAAGTTTATATCTGTCATTCAACAGACGCTACATGTGCAGATCAATGTTTCCAAGCAATTTCGTTTTTTTTTACAGATCTAACAGCTTTTGGTTGCAGTTTAAATAAATTCCACATTCCAGTAGAATATTTTTCGGAAAAAGCGGTTTAAAATAACTGAGAGTAGGCATAGAGAAGAAAAAATCTGACGTTACTTTACTTGTCGGCGTGACAAGGGCTATAAATGTGCGACTGATTCGAAAAATGAATGGAACGGAACCAAGAGAACATATTCACCTGAGAGAATGAATACAAACATGAGATGTAAATTAAATTAACCATAATGTTGATCATTAATGTACTTCATATAGAATACACATACATAAAATAACATTTTTTCTTCTCACATTTCTTTCGGCTGATATTATTCAAAAAAAGTAATTATAGATATTAAAAATCAATTTCAATTTATGTTTTTTGGACTATTATTAATATTATTATTATTGCTTATACCTTATCGATATGTCGAATGTGGTTCAGATGAAGCTGATAAGAAATTGGGATTGATAATATAAATCATTTATTGTTCTTTCATAGAAAGAAATTGGAGAAAACAAATAGAAGATGGAATCGTTATAAGGAGTGGGTTATGTGTTTCAATTCTGTAAAAGTGAAGTTACAAGTCACGGACACCGATCAAATCTATGTCTAAGAAGAAGCTGTTTTTTTTCGCTATGTTTCATTTTAGCGTACTCGTGACACATTAATAACGTTTGTCAATAATATAATCAAAGATGTAATCTGTCATTGGATAATCAATCACTGATAATAATCGAAGACAAACGATTTAAAAATTCAACAGCTATTTCTTCATTAAAAAAATCGAAGATGAATTCAAGAAATAAATAAAAGATGTATAAGAATACATTGATAAAACACTAAACAATATCGAATCAAAGAACAGCACAAAATGGTTATATCATTAAAATAGGATATGGTGAAAAACAATTCAAAGTTTAATTACAAAAGTTTAATAATTTTGTCGATATTACACACAAAAACTATTTCTTCGTATCAGAAATGTGGAAAAAGTTGAACTCTATTTAAGAAAAAAACTTAATAAATAAAATTAGCGAATCATTTATAAAAAGAAAAGATTCGTAAATTCTTTTGAAATATTATCAATTCAAAAAGTTGAAAAACAAGAACAAGTAGAACAATAGATTATAACTTTTCAGCCTAATATCTACGATGCGGGAGAATGGTATTACTCAACAAAATTGGTCTTAAGGAACCTCAGGAATTCGATTTTTCTTCGAAACTGAAGTAAGAAAGGATACGGTTAAGTATCTTAAACTACCCTCTTTCAGAATTCATCTCAATTTGCCAGAAATTCAATGTTTTTGGAGGTTTTTGAAAAATATTTCCGAAAGTCTTCAAAACGATTTTTTTCTAAATTTGACATTTCAATTAAGATTTTTAAGATTGTCTGTTTTAACAGACATGGAGTTATATTGAGCAGAGTGTTCTGATCAAAATGGAATCTCCCGCATGTTTCTATGACTTCGCCTTGCAGAATTATACTAGTTTTGGTAAAGGCGCTAAATTATAATCCATGAAGTGATGGCGTCATTGCTTAGAATATGTTTTGACGCAGCAAAATTGTTACTCCTCCTAGACGATTCATTATAAATCCTTCATTTTTTTGTTTTGACGCTGAAACACATATCTAAAGTTTTATCCATAGCGATTTTTCAATTTTGTTTTCTGTGCAGAAAAGTGTAAAATACCTCTCCGAGTTTAGGGTTATTTTCAGAGTACTGACTTAAAATACATGTAGGAAATGAACAGAAGCGAAATTTAAACATCACTATGAATCAAACTTTAGATTTAGATGTGTAATTTCATTTGAAAATGAACCGGTTGTTCAAAACTGGAGCTTTCTGCTCTTTTCAACAAAAAAGCCTTAGTGTTTTTGTTAAGAGCCCTATTTTGCCCCTTAACCTGTCTATAATTCGGCAATGTTCCAAGCTTTCGAGTTTCAATTTTAAGAATAATCTAGTTGGATAGTAAGCATTAATCACTGTAAACGCCATCGAAGTCGGATGTGAAAGAAAAAAGTTTTTTCCTGAAGAGTCCCTCTCTTAAGTGAACTTTTAAATTTGATGGAAATAATTTCAACTGAACCATTATGACATTAATCATTATTTTGAAAGAAGAATGCTCAGAATGAGGATTACAACAGTGAAAAAGGCACATTTAGTGAGTTGAACTGAGCTAGAAATAGTCTTAACTTTAAATGTTTAAGCACTTTACCATTTTTTTGCGGGATGACACGTACGAGAAAGATTAGTATACTCTAACCTAATCCACGTTTTATAATATGCATGAAGCTTAGTTACTCTAATGCATGAATTATTAAAGCCACGATATTATGTAGTGTAAATATTTCCATATAAGTTTAGTAAATTAACACCTACATTTTCAAAAGAATTCACCTAGATAAAATGTAACACCAAACGATCG